TGTGTGTGTGTGTGTGTGTGTGTGTGTGGGGGGGGGGGGTTCGGCTTTGGTGACATTTGGGGGCAATTTTAAGACAAAAATCCTACATTTGGGGACAAAGGTCGAGTCCTCATTTGGTTTAAATGCCAATGGTGGGTTGGGGGTTGGGTTTAGGACCAAGGTGTGAATTGAGTTTAGGTTAGTTTTAGGGTCAGGTGGGTACCTGTGAGGTTAGTTTTAGGGTCAGGTGGGTACCTGTGAGGTTAGCCTTAGGGTTTGTGGTCAGGGTTAGGCTGTAGGAATGTAATGGAAGTGTGTGGGTGTGTGTGTGTGTGTGTGGGTGTGTGTGTGTGTGTACATTATATTCAGTATCTTTCTGTTTGGTTTCTATTTATTCAATGCAGAAAATGCAGGTGTGGCCTTATTGGTGTAAAGACGTCCTGTTGTCTAACTGAAAGGTTTGGTTTTGTTTGGACATGTTGGGACATTGGTGACATGTTTTCCCTCCTCAGGGCTGTTGCCTTCGGTGTCAAAGCAGACCCATGTCATTGTTCCTGTGGTGGAGGAGCTGGAGGACGGGCGCTGGGAGGCTGCAGTGGTGAAGCAGGAGGGTCGACGGATCAAGCTTGCTGTAAATTCACCACCCACAGCTGTCATCGGCCAGTATCAGCTGACAGTGGAAACAAGTTGTGCAAATGGACAGGCTGTCTCCACCCATGACCCTGTTAATGACGTCTATCTGCTGTTCAACCCCTGGGTTGAAGGTAAAGAGTTCCTCTGTTCCTCAGGTATCACCTGTAACAGGTGGATCCACTGACTGCAGCTGCTGGAAGAAAGGAGAAATTATTATAAACAGCTTAAAGAGTGGTGAATTAAACAAACAGTGGATATGAAWTAAAAACTTGATCGAAGCAATCAAAGTAGACTCCCCTCCCTGACTATCTGAGAGCTCCACAATCACTGGGTGACTTTTAGAGAAATTATTTGTCACCAGACTGAATCAATTAATCGAAAAAAAAMAACAACAATATCTTAAGTAGCAGTCAGTATGGGTTTAGAGCTAAAAATTCCACATCAATGGCTCTTATGGAATTTATGGAGCAAATAACAACTGTTATGATCAAAAACAGTATTGTTTGAGTATTTATGTAGATTTAAAGAAAGCATTTGACACAAATGATCACAGTATTCTTCTTGAAAAATTAAGTAGACATGGTATTAGAGGGTCGGCACTAGAATGGGTATCCAGTTATTTGAAAGATAGGAAACAGTTTGTACAGATAAATGGTGTAAGATCTAAACTTGGTAATATCACATGTGGAGTCCCTCAGGGCTCAGTACTGGGACCTAAGTTATTTATTTTATATGTAAATGACAGTAAATGTGTCAGGACTTTTCAAATGTGTTTTATTTGCTGACGATACAACATTTATTTGTTTAGGTAAAGATATAGAAAAAATGTTTGAGATGGTACAGAAAGAATTCGAGAAAATACAAAATTGGTTTCAACAAAACAAATTGTCATTAAATTTGGATAAAACAAATTACATGATATTTAGTAACAGGAAGACAACTGTTGATTTCTTATTTAAAGAAGATGGTAYTGAGATCTGTAAAGTCAGTGAGGTGAAATTTCTGGGTGTCATCATCAATGACAAGCTGACATGGAGACCTCACAKACATTATTTRAGAACCAAAATATCTAAATCTAGAGGAGTGCTGTATAAAGTCAGGGAGTTATTCAATGACAAGGCTTTGCTTGTGTTGTATAATTCAATAATTKTTCCACATTTAATTTACTGTGTTGAAATCTGGGGTAAAGCTTGCAAAACAATTATGAATCTGATTTTTGTTTTACAGAAAAGAGCTGTAAGAATTATCACTAAATTACAACCATCCATCAAATACATTAATTTGCAAATTGAAAATTTCTAAATTCTATGATTTGGTTGACTATAATATTTTACTGTTTATGTACAAGGCTCGTAAAAACGTATTACCTTCCAACATTCAGGTAAACTTTGTTAAGAGAGTTAACAAAGTTGTTATTATCTAAAGGGGATGGAAATGTTTGTGAAACCATATTTTCATACTTGCTTGAGAGAAAGATATACTTTAATCCAGGGTATAGTTTAATCCAGGGTATAGGATTATGGAATGGTCTGGAGGATGAGCTTAAAAATGCCAGATCTATGTATTTATTTAGGAGACAGATGAAAGCTAGTATTCTGAAGGTTTATGAAAGAGCAAAATGTGATTGTTGTTTGAGTTGATGATTTTATCTTTATCGTTATTTAGTATTGTTTTGTAAATTATCTTTTCTTTSAATATATATGTGAGCCATCACATCGAAATGAGGATGAAGTCTAAAAGTGGGATATGGAGAAACTGGCAAATATAGTGTTTTGATTAAAATGTTTACAAAAATTGCATTTTGTCAAAATATAATGAATAAAAGCCTTATTAATGTATCATTTGAATGAACTGTCTGAAACATAATCATAAAACAAAATTTTCAAGCATTTTTTGAACAGTAGTGTAACGGTCGAAGTCAGGAAGTCAGAATCACCAGAATCAGGAATCAGGATAATTTTATTCCTGTTCAAAACAAGAACATTTTTAACAAAACAGCTCCTGGGCTCCGGATTCTCCACAAACACCCTCTCCTCAGCGCAACTTGGCGCAAACTGAGGAGGGCAGCGGGAACACACAGGATATGATGCAAAAACAGGAAGTAAGAAAATAAAAGCTTGCTCACCAAAATAAAATATGATTAGAAAACAAAGGAAAACAAATATTCATAGATGAGGATGGACTTTTAC